AAATATATATCCATCACCGAGAAAATTATATTACAAAAAAAAACTTCTCAAAATAACGTTTTTATTTTTCGTGGGTAATAGCGTAACTGGCAAGGGTAATATGGGTCTTAGTGTTATGCTTTTTCCTAGATATTATGTAGGTTGCATACATTCATGCACTATTCGTACATTTGTATTGCGGGAAGTATACATTTAGGCTGCATTTAAAACACTTTTATAAGGTTCTCGCTATCTGTAGCTCCTGTTTTACGTAACTCATAACAGAAATTTAAACGTCAACGGATGTTTAGGAACACAACACAGCGCATATTGCCCCACTATCAGATCAGAACTTTTAGCATAAAAAACTCTAATTTTTGATCGAAAAACATTCTGATTTCACACAGACACTAAAGTGGTAATGTAGCATGTTTTTTTTTCAACTAGTTTATTTTTTTTGGCTCAAATGTCCACGGAGCCGAAAACCATTTCATAATTATATAATTACAAAAAAATATTAATGAGGGACATTTTTATCAGTTCTTCTTACTCTTACTTGGAAGTGACTCGAGCTTAGCTGCCGCTTTCCCCCGTGCCCTCAACACCTTTGCTTCTTCCAATTGTTTTTCCTTCAGCAGCTCTCGCCGCTTGGCCTCCGCTTCGTAAAGTCCACATCTCGAATTTGTGGTAGTAATGCGCATCATGTTTCTCAGGCCCTTGCATCCTCTCCATTGTTATTCTCGCTGTCCGGGGATGTCACAGCCATCACCATCACCTCATCTTCCCGACCTTGACCGCTTCCTCGTTTGGCGATGCACTTTCACTCACTACACCAGCGTACGTTCTGGTCTCTTCCTTATTCCATTGATGGTTTTCTTCTTCCGTTCGTTGTTGTGCTGGCTGCTTCCAATCCTTCCGCATGGGCAGGAATTTATCCACACAAATTGTGGCTTTCTTGATAGAATATGTTCCCCTTTCTATTAAGGAAATGCATATATAGACCCAAGGCAGCTGGGAAATTCTCCCTAACAACGTGCTTTACATCACCGTATTTCGCTAACACCAATCGCTATCCGAGACTTCTGGTGGGAGGTCGTACACTCTTACTTATTGAGCTGTGTCCCCAGCAGGCGACATACGACAATGAAAAGTTTATTGTTCACGGTTGTTTAGCAGACAATGAAGCACCAAATCTTCTGATTTAAACTTGATAAACATAGAATTTCCTCCACAATGCGATATGTAGCGATCATCTGAGTGGGATCCGCGTCTAGCACTATCACGAAGTTTGCAATTTCATACATATATGATCTCGCCGAGCCTTGTGCGAAGCTTATAGTGAGCTTTATTTCAACGGACATATCCAGTTCTTTTGCGTCCAACGGGTCTACGGCAAAAGCGGACGTACTTCAAACAATGAGTGCTTGTGTCGTCTGCTAAGAGCGAACAGGTAATGCAGCAAGTTAATTCAAATATCAATTCAAGTTGAAAAATGCATTAGGTCCTGAGTAACATTAACAGATTCTCTTCGTCGGCTTTCTCTTTGAATCCTCACGGCCATGTTGAGACATTCCCAGCTAATTATATATAAAAACACGACAAAAAACTGTCCAGTACCCAAGTTATTAACGAAAGAGGAAGTCGATGAAGAGAATCGATCAATGTTACTTAGGACCTAATGCATTGTTCAGTTTGAATTGTAAGGAATGATCTTACAAACCGTTGAACAAATCTTGCATCGAAAGGCACTCAAATAAACTTTTATAATTTTTATAGATTAGAATAGCATTTAACCCCAAAATACTACCTTTTGGTGCAGTAAAAAGTTGACCAAAGTGTCTATTAAGCGAAATATTGTAGTGGCAAGTATTACCCCATCAACGCGTTTTACACCTTTTCTCCCTATTCTTGTCAATCAGCGTTCGTGCTTCTATTAGCATTTTTTCAGTGTCACGCCTTTATACATTGTCAAATAGGAGGAAGAGGCATAATGAGCAGGTTAAGCACACATGCGTTGGTAACCTAAAGTCATAAAATTTAAAATTTTAGGCATTTATATTTCAATATAATCTTTTTCGTTCAGGAGCTGATGATTAAAAGCTAGAAATTTGTTGATTAGGACTTTAAAAATTACAGACAATCAAGGGTAGCATATTTTAGAGGCACGTGGAAAGTTGGCAAAGCACACTCATTGAGCATATCTACAAAAACGGGTAATTAGGGTACAAGACAGTACCATTGGAACTGAATAATATTAAACATACTCTAATGAGTAGTAAACAATTCATAAACCTAATAAGAAAGCATATTTTATATAAGAAAAAAATTAAATTCTTATGCATTTCATGATGATCAATCAACACATTCACGAAATAAAACACTGGTTTAGAAAACCCTTTCTACCATTATTGGAGGAACTGGATCAGCTGCCGTAGGAATCGCAAAGGGGATCTTGCAACAAATATGCCCATTTCGATCTGCTTATTACAATTATTCTTAACTCATTGTATTTAAAATATTGAATATTGATCGCCTCAGGTTTATTGATCAGATGTTTGAAATATAACTTAATATTGATTTCCAGAAATTAAATAGGAAAAAAAAATTATTAGAGTAAATGATTGATGCTCTTTAGACCCTAGATAGAGAAATATAGGGTAAGTGATCCAGTTATTGCATATACTCCGGCTATAGCATAAGCATATAATCTCAATGGTACCAGTTGTTGGCCCTACCCATTTAAATCACATAGGTATCACATGACTGGTACAGCTATTTTTAAATAGTGCCATAATAAGTGCACTTCTCCTACGCGATGTGTTATGCTAATCCGATCGATCATAGATTTAAAAGGAGAGCCTAGGAGTGAAATAAGTTGATTGAGCTATCCAGAATTCAAAATCCACTGACACCATGAAACAAAAAAGGCAAAGATATTAGTTTCCGTAATTTATAGTTGTCTTAATCAGCGGTAATCCGTTAAACGATAGATTTTTTTTTAATTTAACTGAGTTCATCAAAGCATAGCATCTAAGCCGCTTAAAAACTATATACAAAATAATTGATGAAAAGGCACCAGCTGTGTACAATCAACACGCAAATTACTGATAGTTTGAAAAGCAAAGCATAAGCGGTGAGTTTATTTGCTTAGGTATGATATGAACTTATGAATAAATAAATATAAATCAGAATCAAATGAATAAATTTGTCACGAAACGAATACTATACGACACATGGATGTCTAGATGCTGCTCGCTACGGCTTTCAATGCGCATTATTTTAGCGATCAATACAATCATTACTTACTGGTCTTCTTTTTTGCTCAACATTGATGGCACTTCCAGGCTTACGAGAATATTCAAGATATATGCATTATGATACGTATAACGAAAATGTGTGTAGCATAGAACGAGTTATTAAGAAGAAGGTAAAAAGAAGATACAATAAAATGAATAGAGCTGCAACGTTGTTCAATTAAATGACTGTTAGATGTTGATGTCAAATTTAAAACAAACGTACGCGTTTAAAGCACATTTGAAGCTGATGGGCCTGGATTTGTACGGGTGTATTTTTTTTTACTTTAGTTTATGATCGTTGTGCTTCTCGTCAACATTCTACCAGCTAATGAATGAATAGGCAGCTCCATACCGACGATTTTTGGGTGTGTTTTCAAATGCATGAATCGTATCATGGATCTACTCTTTGCCGTTTAACGTCGAGCTCATATTTTTTGGTTGATTGGCGAAATTTTATGAAGCGAGCTAAATTCAAGACCAACTACTTTGTTAAGAGCACGGCCAAGATATACCATAAAAGAATAAGACTAAATTGAATATATTGTTTAGTGTTTTCTGCTTTGTTACGCCCCGCAAATAATCGCGATGATGAAATATGATCAAGAACGGTGAACTTACGGTGGCTAGAGGCAATGTGATTCCTTTAGAGGATGAGTTGGCTTTGATTGTAGCATGCAGTGTGGAGAAACCAATTACTGAAACTGCAAAGTATTGGGTTGCGCAATTCATGCTGCTTACGAAAATGACCATCGCTTATTTGTACTCTCAACTACGACAATTTTATCGGCATTCGTGCTCTACAACAAGTTAGCCTCTTCTATGAATTGGCCATTACATTGTTTAACACATCAAGAAAGTTAATATTTTTTCACCCTTAAACTGAATTCTCACTCAATTGTATTGCTCTTTCACAGATTATTTTCCATTTTACAAATTATTTCTAAGATCAAAAACTTCCACCGCATCTGTCAAATGAACAAGAATTTAAGATTCGCCTGCAAAAATAATTCAAGATTGTCAATGCACACTTGTATGCTGGCGGTGAAGTCTTCGATATAACCACTAGATGGATTTTTTTATTTAAGATCCACTATTACTGGTCACATCATTGCACGCTGCGTCGTGGAGCATAATATCATAGCCCTTATTAAAAAAAAAAAACAAACAAGAAATCGTTAGAACGGAAAATCGCATCTACTTATTTGCTTCAAATTGCTGTACGCGGGGTCTTGGAACGCGAATCTGAAGTCGAAATAAGTTGGCACTCTAACGCGAGTTTTAGTTCAACTCGGGTTCATGACTGATTATAACTTATCTTTTTTTTTTCAAGACCATAAGATATTTGTTGATAAAAAAAATTAAAAATTATTGAGACGATCATCGAACGTCAATTAAATGCATCATACTAACCTACCTAACCTCTCCTCAACTACCGTTTTAAGTGCAATATTATCGTAGTCCATTTAGATAAATGTATTTTATTAATTCCTTAAGGAAACTTGCCAAAAACCCCACTGAAAACCTGTCAAAACCTAACCTCTCCTCGACTACCGTTTTAGGTGAAATGTTATCGTAGTCCATCCAGATCAATTTATTATATGAATTCCTACAGGAAAATTTCCTAAAGCCTGTCAAACAACGACGAGTTCAATAAATGAGATCCCATCTGTTTTCTTCATGGGCCAACAGTGTAAACGATCGATACTGGGTACGTCTTTTCTTTACCTTAATGTCTCCTCCACCAGGCTGATAACCCAGATTATCCTTGGAACCAATCTTCGGTCTTGCGCGATCCTTGAAGTCAGTTTTAAGAGTTTCAATCTTTTTGTCTCCGCCTCCAGGCTTATGGTGAGCATTATCCAGCGATCCTATCTTAGGTTTGGCGGTCCATGTCAACTTTGTGGTGATGATCTGGGAGGATGATAGAATAATTGTATTAATGATGGTTTATTCAGTTATCAGACCAAAATCATATCACAATGTGAAACAAACAATTAAAGTGCGAATGAGTTCATGCAACTCATGATTACATTATAAAAGCTACATAGTAATGCTCACGAAAAGGCTCGTCGAGTGAATTTGTGCGGCCCGCGGAAAGCTGTTGACCCATTGGCTGGCAAATCACTTCAAAGATGCTTTATAATACCATCCTCGCACTATCCAAAGTGTAATTTTTTTACATTCTTATTCACATTATAGCTATTCACACAGTTGAGAACGTAGATGTTTACTATGACGGATCTATGGATTAATTTTGGTTAACTCGTCCAATTTTTAACAAAACATTAAAATAACGTGTTATCCTAAGATGAATAGGTGATTGTATCTTTAAACGATTAAATGTTCCATAAACCATAAAAAAAACATTTGATTTTGGTGTATGTTATAGGAACAGGGTGACGTCCATCTTCGAAAAGAAGCTTCTACAGAGAATTTAATAAAAAAAAAAAAAGATTCTTAAGAAGATTCCATAACAATTTTATTAATAGGATCAAAAAGAAGCTTCTTAAGAAGATTCCAAAAGAAGTTTCTTAAGAAGATTCCAAAGGAAGCTTCTTAAGTAGGTTCCAAATTAAGCTTCATAAGAAGATTCAATGATAATCTTCTTAAGATGATTTAAAAATAAGTCTCTTCTATATGCTTACACGTCGCTCCGCTCCTATAACTAAAAAACACGGGCAGGAGAGTAAATTCGACTAGCTGCACGTTGAGCGTTTTTTAAAGGTTTAAGAATAATTTAATTGCAAAAAATATACATTTCCGCAGCTTCCCAATCCTCAACCATCCACAAGCATAATCTTACCTTTTTATCACCACCCTTTGGAACATAGGCATCGTTTTTCGCCTCGATTCTTGGCGCTGCCTTGATGTCTATTTTTTTCGATTCTATTTTAACGTGCCCACCGCCCGGTTTGTGGGTAGCATTTTCCAACGATCCTATCTTAGATCTAACTACCTTTAAGTTAGGCGAAGGAGCTGCACCGACTTGTATTTTATTCATTGGTACCTCTGTAAATAAAATCGAGTTCGTTGAATAATTGCAGATCTTAGGAGGTATCGGTTCTAAAGTAGCTTACTTTTAATTAGCGGTTCGGATGGAGTTTCTGGAGTTTTAGCAGTAAGTCGTTGCTTCGAAGTGCTTCTGGATCGTGTTTGCGGAGTGATGCTGTCTGGTCGCCGTAGTGCTGGTATTTTGCTAGGTGATTTCAATGGTGAACCTGGAGAAGTTGGACCATTTCGATCCTGATGGAAAATGTAAAGAACAAAAAGTTGAATCACACTTTGATTACTTATTGATCCGCGATATCATCATCACCACAACCTTGAATGATCTTTTTAATGAAAATTTTACTCTATTGGTTTTCTTCGCGATTTTCTCTTTGATCATTGAACAGATAAAAGGACCACTTTCTCCCCGAATCTGGATGATGCAATCTACTGTATGTAACTGCACAAGAATATGTTTAATGCCGACGATAAAAACTGTTTAACTACAGGTAGCCAATATTCGTTAGCAGAGGAACAAGCAAGCAATGCCTTATTTCAGAGGCCAATAGAAGACTGAAAACCAAACCTTCTGTTACCGATTGTGGAGGCAAGCAGACATGGAAAGTGATTAATATCGCGTTGTCTAATGAAGCGCAAATCCAACCCACATTGTTTCCAATTGTATGCTCATAAACGACATTTTATTCGTTCAGGAGCAATATGGGAAACGAATTCGTATGGATCAAACTATCTCAATGCTACGGTTGATGAATCGGTATCTCTGTGATGACGATAGGTCTACCAATAACCACGCTTGTAGTTCAACGAAGTTAGAAAGCGCAACATACAGGAGGTGGAAGGTTCGATTCCAACTATGGTAATTGATCGTTCTGGACAGGAAATTTCCAATTAATATTTTAAACATTCGTCTACATGTTTTACGAGCCTTTTTTAGGTGTGCATTTTCATCGTAAACTGATGAAATATACATATGTGATTCAACTTACCCCACTGTATGGGGCAAGATGAATCAACACACACTGTATTTGTATCCTCATAAAAAGTTAGTTTTGTGGATCAAAACTATACTTTAATATTTTTTCATGATAGAAGACGCTTTTACGAAACTTTTGGTGTAAAAACATCCGGTTTATGTTACTTTATTAATTTTCCTAAGAGCCTAAAAGCTCAACTTTGAAAAAAAAACGTTTTAACTTGCCCCGGTGTACCTTAATTATTATTGTTTTTCCTCCTCTGTTCGGGACCTAACACTACTGCGACCAGTAATTTAATCTATTGTAGTTTATCTCGTGTCCTTAGTTTAGTGCATCACTATAGAGAAATGATGATTTTTTTTTTACAGTTGTCATTCTTACATTTATCGCAAGGATCCGACTATAATTGAAAGGTCCCGCTATTTATACCCAGATTTTTAATAAATGTTGGCCACTATAGACTCGTGCGTTTGTAAGAAAATTGAAAACAATGAAAACAATTTTTTACAAAAACTGCCTTAGACAAGCCAAAATTGATTTACATAAAAAAAATATTCACCATTGTTTCATATTGCCTTGGAGGTCTTTTGAAAGAAAGTATGTATGCAGAAAAAAAAATCGACAGTAGAAGGTTAAGCCGGCGCCGGTGGTGTAGTGGTAAGCGTGACTGCTTTCTAACACCCCGATGGGTCTGGGTTCAATCCCAGCCGAGGTCGGTGGGATTTTTCTGAGGCATAAAAATCTCTGGTCACGTCTTCCTTCGGAAGGGAAGTAAAGCCGTTGGTCCCGGCCAATGTGTGTTGAATGGGTGCGATATCCTACGCAGATGTGGAAGCTGGCTTCCTGCACATTCGATTGCCGTCAATGGATGACAATCGATGTCCGTCGGTGATTGGCACTAGATTGCGGAACAGAGACCAACGTTAAATAAAGGAAAAAAAGTAGAAGGTTAATACATTAAGATTCCGTTACTCACTTCAAATCACGGGAAAGAACTAGTTCTTCAGTTCATTCGTTCTTTTAGAAATCATAATTTGTCAAGCACTTTAAAAAAGTTGCTTGGAGTTCCTAACTAGAATTGAATGCAAATTATTACATTACTTTGTAGAAGCCTTATCTGTTATTAGATGCCTTCCAATTCATGTGTGCAAATGGTCAGTTCAAAATGGTGCTCTTTTTGTGCAGATATAAGTCTCGATTCCCAGGTTCAAACAATACCAAATGCAGGGCATTCGGGATTCAGGCGAGACAAGCCAAGCCTCAGAATCAGTGTCACATGCTCACTCTAACCTTTGCGCGCGTGGGGTGAACCCATACAAAAACATAACCAAAATCATAACCAACATAGGGTAATTGATTCTGGTTGGACCTATCCAAAAACTGATGAGGTTGGACCTATTTTTTCAATCGCTAGTTTAGTCAATCTTCGCTATTTTTTTTTTTTTTCAAAGATCACTTTACTATTATAAAAAACTCTTTTTCTTCAATTTGTATGGGTGTTTTATTGAAAAAAAACTTCAAAACAATTGAGTTTCAATGTGCTTTCAAAACAGTTCACTTTCCACGCATTAGCTCGTCATCATGCCTTACTTTCAAACATACAAAAAAGGAATATTTTTTACATTTATTTTTATTTTCATGCAGTATAATACTTCTTTAAGGTGTAAACAACACGTTAGTACGCCATTTATCCATTGGTTTCACTAAAATGTTTGAATTATTGACGAAATTCGAATAGATAAATATGATCATGGTTGGACCTACGTATGATGATGGTTGGACCTATGTGTTTCCTAAGACGGCCGCTAAGTGCGCTTCGGTTTGTCTACAACCTTCATGCGCAGCTGATTTGAAATTCGATTTTGTTTTGGCCGAGTGATTAGTTTCTTCGATTGAAAAAAAAATGGCTAATGAAAAGAGTTATACGGTCGAAAATCTTCAAGAGGCTGTCCTTTTAGAAAGAAATCACTTACCGCGGATCAGGCACAGAAAAGGTACAATATTCCGAAAACGACACTTCACGCAAAAATTAAGGGAAGCCACGGCAAGAAATATGGAAGGGAAATAGTGTTGAGTGTTGATTTGGAGAACCAGCTAGCGGATTGGGTTTGTATGTGCGCTGCTTCTGACAGTCCCAAGACGACCAAAAAGATCTTGGAAGCTGCTAAAGACCTTGCGTCACTAGTTGGGCGTAAATTTAAAGGAGGAATTCCACCGTCAGGTTGGCTGAAAGGGTAACCACCGATTTCCGAACTACCACGAAAGCGCCGAAAGAATCTGTTAATATGAATTTACATTAAACACTTCTCATACACCTTCTGTGTGTGAATTAACTTGAAATAAAATGTTAACAAACTAAAAATTTCTGTCTAAAATTTATTTCCGAAAAAAAAACTCCTAGGAGAAAAAGAACCATAAAACCGGAATTAAGTTCTGATATTCTGTCATTTTAAGCCCCTACACTCCCCGGGGGCACCCAGAACATGCCCGGAAGTGGCCAATGTGGTCCAAGCCACTCAATTTTGTTATTGATCTTGTCATCGAATTTGGAAGCAATGTGAAGTGTCGCATGATAGCTTTTATTCCTTCCATGTCAAAATTAGGTCCATGTTCCATATACCCTGTAACTTGTTCCGGCCATATCTCCGGAACCAATTGACCGGTTCCAAAAATATTCGACAGCTTTCAATGAGACCACAATACCTATAGTTTGACGTTAAAAAAAATTTCAAATCGGGTAAATGATTTCCGAGAAAATGAGCCATGATGAATAGATAATGCGTGGAAAGTTAACTTTTTTTTAAAAACGAAGTTAAACTAAAATTTCTTGATTTTTTTTTAATTAGCAAATTCATAAAAACTGTATAAAAAGGGTTTTTTCATGATACCAATAAGCTCTAAACAATGTTTTTGAACAAATATGGGCAAACTAGCATTTGCAAAAATAGGTTCAATCATCATCATTTTTTAGGTCCAACCAAGTTCAGTATAGGTCCAACCAACATCATAATTCTTTGCTGAATAAAAACGTTTTATAAAATCATTAGTCATAATATTTAACTTTTTATGTTATTATTAGAAACAAAAAAGGTATCTAATTTTTTTTTACATGTAGTTTACATTGGAAATATCATGAAAAGTTGAAAATAATAGTGGCATCTTTTCTGGGTCGTTGTTTAGATTTATTTTAATATCAATAAACATTTTTATACAAAATCTACAACAAAGGGTGGCTCCTAAATATAACCGATTTTTTTTATCATAGAAGCAAAAACTTGAGCAACATTTGATCTAGATATTTAGAAAATATGTAGGGTTTTTGATCTAATTTTTGATCCACAACCCGTTCTTTACCTTTCTTTTTTGATCGAGTTTGAACAAAAAAATTAATATATCTGCTTAATATGACTTTTAAATTTATTCACCTTTCCATATTCCAGTTGGATATGATAAATAGTCACACATTGTTGGTATATTGGTAAAAATCTAATACTGCTTCTTAAATTCGTCCTACGAGTTTTCATTCCGTCCTAACGCATTGAAACGCCATTAGATTTCCTTCGTCCTACGGATAAACGTAGAAAAAGGGGATTCGCTAGTTTGTTTTGAGAACAATGAGCGTCAATATTCATACAATGCGCTCTAATAGGATTTATGTTGTAGCTAATGAACTAAAACATCGGAACAAACCTATTATTGATTTTTGCACGGAGAAATGATTAATATTATTGATCTTTTCTGATCGATAGAACAAAAATGGGCGATTACGACAAAGTAGCGCTCTACCCTTAATCTCTTTCCGACAGAACAAACCTTAAATTGACGCAATTGGGCACATTTTAGCTATAGATTGTTAACATTGTTTTCAATCTAATATACTATGGATTTTAGGTAATTTTATAGTATATTGAGAGATTAGGGTTGGTTCAAAATTTACTATTTTTCATTGAATTTTCATTTTTACCGCTCTGTACAAAATTCTAATCTTGGCGGAAATTTTTCATTTGAGAATATGAAAGAAATATCTAAAAACATAATAATTCATGAACATAAATTTAAATCACCACGGACTTCGCCCCACTGCGTTAAAATCTGCAATGGTGAATGGCATATGAAGTGAGCTGTCCAGTCAAGGAAGAATTCTGAAACAGAGTTCCTTGGTGGAATAGAACTTTAAACAATCTAAAGAAAACAACTCGGAAACTTTTCAATGCTTCAAAAGCTCGTGGACAATGGTATCAATATAAAACACTCTTTCAT